TATTTATTTAATTTATATGCCGCCCACTCTACCCAAAGGTCTCTGGGCGGCTTACAACAAGGTAACTATCACAAATGCCATTTCTCCTCTCCTGGTTGCTTCTTTGTCTTCTTTTCTAAATCTGCTTGACAAGATTTAAACAGCCGTTTTGCGGTTTAATACTGGAGAATATTTATCTATCTATTGAAAGAAAAACCTTTTGAGCACTGCTATGATTCATCCCCCCACTGAAATCAGCCCTGGTTCTAGCACACATCCAGTGGCATAGGCATGCATTACTAAATCCAGGTGAAAAGATGTCTATGCAAATAACTCTTGGGCATCTAAAGAAAAAGACAAGACTGAACAGCTGTTATTGAGCAGTGATTGTGTGTTTGTGCATGTGCTTAAATGTTTAAAGAAAGGTATCAGTCTGGTTCCTATAACTGACTTGTGAGGAGCATCTACAGTGGTAACTTAATCGACAGTTTGCATCAGATTTTGGCACAGACAAAACCAAGTTAAAAGCTGGTGACGACATGACCCAAAGTTAAATCTGGGGAGCCCAGTGGGGAATCATCTCTTTTTAATAGGAAATCATATTTTTTTAAAAAAAAATCATCCAGCAGGGGTGTTTTAATTTTGTTCCATGCTAGTATTACTTTTCTATGCTTTTTCCCCTGTGTGGTTGCATGATCTGTTACAAAGGGGTGCCTGCGAGAGGTATCAGTTTCCCTCAACTGAGCACCTGTTGTATCCAAACAGTTTTTTTAAAGAAAAAAAGCACTCTTTAAAGTCAGCATTGAAAGGAATTATCACTAAGGCATTTAAAAAAAAGAAATTTAAAAAAAGAGAAGTGGAAATTGCCAGTTAGCACCTTGTCAGCTAAAGGTGCTGATGGTTAGTCCGCAGTTAGAATGATTGTGGTTGTCTGGACAACTACAGAGATTTTTGCCCATAGAAACCAGCAGGGATCCACTTTGAAAAACTGCAGGTTCCGATGACAAAATCTGTCTGTAGTATGTGTTGTGTTTCAGATTATTTGGACCACCTTTTGTGTCCTGAAAATGCCTTTGTCTTATTTGGTAAGTGCCTCTGTTTCTGGAGGTCCCTCACCCTTCTTAGGAGACAAGTGAAATGCTGCTGCCACCCGTTCCCCTATCATCAAGCCACCACACATGCATTGCTGCCACCTTGTTTTTAAAACATGCCAGCCGCAGAGAGCTGCCCCCTGCATCAGATGTTTTCTACAGTAATGGAGGCCTTCCCAGGACAGAAGGAGCGGTGTTCCTGGGGCTTCACAATTTGAGGCAACTGCCTTGCTTCACCTAACTGGGGATGTGTGTGGTGGTTTCCAAGACGTTTCACTAGCTGAACAACTGATCTCTCCGTCTTGTACTTGAAGTAATTTTGGCATATGTCGCAGAAAGATCACAGAAACCCCTCTTCTTGTCTCCAGCTCTCAAAACACAATGCTATCAATCTAAATCCCAAAGAACAATGTGTTGCTCTTTCCTGACAGTCAAAATCTGCCGCCTAGGGTGGCTTTTGCCTCTCGCCTAATGGTAGGGTCAGCCCTATGCACAGCATGAAAGAGAATGCTGCAAAGGGTTATTTGGGGACCAGCTCATTTGATCCCACCTGCTCTGAAGCTCCACATCCACACCTCGGGTCTGAAAGCATCCCAATCGCTGGGGCTATCAATAATTCACAGTCCATCAGTAATGCTCCGAAGAGTGCTTACCGTGCACTTTGGTGCAGCCAGTGAGTAATATACGGTAGAGAGATCCTCTTTTTCCAATCCCAGGGCAGCAGGCCAAGCCGGGCTAGTATTGCATTTTCAATTAGCTTCTGAGTGACTGCTTGGCATACGGAGAAGGGAATCTGTGCACAATTAGCTTCTTGTGTCTTTCAGCTTTGCACTGAGAGGGACCTGAGGAGGAACAACTCCAGACAGAGGGGCTGCTGCTGGTGCTGCCGCTGCTGTGGATGTGGAAGAAGGGGGTTACTCAGCCCAGGCTGCTCCCCTCACTGACTCGGGAATTACAGCCATTATTCAGGAGGGCTTGGCGTGGCTTCAGGGAGTGTGCCAGGGAGTAATTGCAGAAACACATCTCTGTCTCTCCTCTCAGGCGGTGCCGGACTGTTTTCCTCTTCAGGATCCCGATTCTTGCCATGGAGCCTAACAGTCCGAAAAAGATACAGTTTGCTGTGCCAGTGTTTCAAAGTCAAATAGATCCGGAAGCGGCAGAACAGGTAAGAGGCTGGTTTGACTGTCCTTGCCGGGAGGGAGAAAAGGGTGTGATGATTCCACATCGTAACACCTAAGATTGCTACAAAGGGGAGGGGGCAGGTGTCCTTCAGAAATTCCTGGTGCCTTTTATGTTAGTTTCCCCCCCCAGGATATAATTATTGTCTTCCATTCAATCTCTAAGACACGATGCTTCCCAGCAACGATAGCCGTAAGTTTTGTCAGTGCTCTTTTAGACATATTTCTTGATCGTTTTGTGCTCTATATAGGAATACCCTGGCAGTTGTGGAAACAAAAATGGAGATAAGGGAACATCAGTGAAATAGTCAAACGAAATAAAGTTTAGTGGAACGGCTGTTTTAAAAAGAAGAAGGAAAAGAAAGCTCTCGAGTATCTTTGAATTTGTTGAAAAGATTTCAGGAAAAATAATGTATACAATTTTTCTACATGTTTCCAATCTAATGATGCCTCCCAGTGTGTGAACTGGATATTCATACACAATTATATGTAAAATGTTTAAATATATGTACACACAGCAAGTGATAGGCAAAATGCTAAAAAGTAAGAAAAGTGGGAGATTCGTTTGGATGTTATTCTTAAGTGACAATTCCTTTTTTGTTGTTCAGAATCCCTATCAAAGCATGGATACCTGTGTGGGAAAAAACAGCAGCTTGGGTATCGTGAGGCTGTTTGCTCAGAAGAAATTCCTGTTTACTCCGTAGGGTTGCTCTGAGGTTGCAATACAAGGAGGCTGCAGTGCAAACCCTATACAGTACATACCTATTGGGAAGTGTCATGCCAGTGTCTAGTTTCCTTTGGAGTAAGCTGCATAGGGCTGCACTGGCAGCATTTGAGCTCAAAGATTCTCCACACTGTAAGAAGCTGGCTTTTTGTCAGCAGGTGATGGGCTACTGAGGAGAGTTGAAGGATGGGATAAGGTGCAGGAGAGAGATTAGGCAAAGGATCTCCTCAAGACTATGTTTATAAGCAGAAGGGCAACTGTTTCTTCATGAATGCACAGTAATAAGTATGGTGCATCATGCTGAGTGAATGGCGACCTGCAGTCCATCATTCCTCACCTAAATCATGGAGGTCATGTCTACCACCCGCCCTTCCTTTAATTCCATTGCTGGCATGAAATGTCATTCTCCTTGTTTGCTTTTTTCAGTCTGCGCATTGGTATTGTTACAAGCTAAGCAACACACGACTGTATTTTTGACTACCTGTTGACCCCTCCACCCAATTTTCTTACAGAAGCGTCTATGACTGTTTGCTGATAGCAAAAGGGGCTGATATAGTAGAGAGCTATCTTGATTGCTTCCGCATAGTTATTCTCGAAGAGCAATAAATGCCAGTCTAAAGCGGTACAGATCTCTGTGCAAGTGTAACATAATACAGTACGACTTGGCTGTCACAATGCCATTTATAGGCTGGAACCTTAAAAACCATTTTATGTTCAGGGCAGAAGCAGCCCATTACAATCCAGTGCCAGAGGCCCAAGGACAAGATGGCGACCACCTCCCCCCCCCCGTCTATTTCATGTACAGAGGTTGACTGGGCTGAACTTTACTTGAACCCTGACGTTAGGAAAGAGTCCTCCATTGCAACCCAAGCCAGCAGGCTACGTTAGGCTGTGTGTACACAGAGAGGGTGCACACACCTCTGTCCGCCACATGTGATGACCCTCTTGAGCACTGAAATGGAACACCTTGGAGGCCGCATCCTCACCATCTGCTTCCAGGGGCAGTTGCCTTCCTCTGCCTAATGACAGGGCTGATTCTGATCAGGGGCACTGTGCCAGATGATGATGATGATGAGGAGGAGTTACTTTGATTTATGTATTGCTCTTCCTCGTAAGAGTGCACAGCAACTAACAAGTCATGTACATTGAAAAAAGACAGTCAAAATAACAGGTTACAAATACTTAAAATCACATATCTAAAAGCACAAATTGGAAATGGATGAACTCACCAACATAATACTATTACAAAAATTTACAACCACAACTGGAAATGTTTGCTAAAGATACCACAAAAGCAATACAAACAGAGAGCAGCTCAAGGTCAGTTAAACTCTTGCTAATTCTGTAGAAGCTTGTACAAATACATATGCTTTTAACTGGTATCTGGAAGACTAAAGAGTATGATGCTGAGAATAATTTTCCTGCTTTGCACTAGAAGCACAGATTTATTAAGCCTGAAAGCATGTACAGCTCAAAGGGTGGTGGGATGGGCTTTGAAGAGAAGCCCCTCTCTGACTTCCCCACCCCACTTAGAAGCCCTACAATCAGCACAAAGCTGTAAATAGGTGTTTGCAAGCATATTCAGTTGAACAGCGTTCCAGCATTTTCCTGATCTGTAACCCTTCCTCATCGAGGCTACCTGCCCTAGAAAGTTTGTACGCACATTTCTTTCTTTCTTTCTTTCTTTCTTTCTTTCTTTCTTTCTTTCTTTCTTTCTTTCTTTCTTTCTTTCTTTCTTTCTTTCTTTCTTTCTTTCTTTCTTTCTTTCTTTTTAAATTTCCAAAACAAATACAAGAATACAAAATACTTACTAATACAATCTAAAACACAGTGCTCCCCCATACCCATGGAACCCTTTGGAGCAATACTTTTATTACGAACCTCCTTTCCAAAATTGTATTGATAGTTGCTTAGAGGCTTTCCCCTTTCCTTTCACTAATAGAAATTCAATAAATCTAGCATAAAAAATATGTAAACTTATTTCCCCTCTTTTCATCTTAAGTTCAGCAGTCAATGCATCATTTAACGCAATGTCCCATACTTCATTATACCAATCTACTAATGTCACTTTTATTTTTCCAGAATCTAGCTATTAATATTCTAGCACTTGCCATAAAATTAGAAATCAATTCCTTTGAGCAATAATCAAGTTCTGTCTTATCAAAAACTGACAGCAAAGCAATTTTACAAGTAAAGTCAATATCTTTTCCAAATATATCACATGTTCCAAAATTAGATTATAAATTCTACTTACTACTCCCTTCCTCAAAGCATGTTTCTGCATGTCTTCATGTGATGATAGAAATTGTTCATACTTAGTACATTTG